TGGAAGTGAATGGGGGAGGGTGGCAGTGATGGAGGATGTGAGCGTGGTAGTGAGTGGAGGGAGGTGAGGGTGGCAGTGAGTGGAGGGTGGCAGTGATGGGGGGAGGTGAGGGTGACAGTAAGTGGAGGGAGGGTGGCAGTGAGTGGAGGGTGGCAGTGATGGGGGAGGTGAGGGGTGGCAGTGTTAGAGTGGAGGGAGGATGGTGGCAGCAGTGATGGGGGAGGTGAGGGGTGTGGCAGTGAGTGGAGGGTGTGGCAGTGATGGGGAGGTGAGGGGGTGGCAGTGGTGGAGGGAGGGTGGCCGGTGAGTGGAGGGTGGCAGTGATGGGGAGGTGAGGGTGGCAGTGAGTGGAGGGTGGCAGTGATGGGAAGGTGAGGGGTGTCGGTGAGTGGAGGTGGCAGTGATGGGGAGATGAGGGGTGACAGTGAGTGGGGGAGGGTGAGGGGTGGCAGAGAGTGGAGGGAGGCTGTGATGGGAGATGTGGGTGGCAGTGGGGGAGGTGAGGGTGGCGGTGGGTGGAGGGAGGGGAGGGTGGCAGTGAGCCATTAACTTACCTTTGGGGTGAAGTCCCGACTGAACCATCCCTGGTGGTCCAGTGATCCAGTGCAGTCAGACCATGTGAAGATTGTCTCGCGAGCTCTGACATTTGAAGTCTCAGAGCGTTGCCGTGGTTACCCACGGCAACGCTCTGATTGGCTGAGCTCGCTGACAATCATGGTCTGCAGCTCTGTACCCGTGGAGGCAGAGCTACAGATAGGAGTCACAAGGATTTGTGCACTGCAGACAGTGCACGGTGACGGCTCTCTCTCGGCGGCACACTTAAAAGGCACAGGCCCGCCCGACAAATCCGTCATCTCGAGTCCCGGCCCGCTCTAGCAATCCGGCTGCGGGCCGGGCCCCCGAGGACCGCCGGGCCCGTGACAATTGTCACGGTTGTCATGCCCTGATGGCAGCCCTGTTTGTAGCATTTAAAAGTATAGTATTGCATTCAGAAAATATTCGTTTTGGTTTTAAGTTTTTTGTTTGTTTTTGTGCTTGGTCCATAGTAAATTGCTCTTACTGTACAAGTCAATTTTGCAGTCCCGTAAAATGCTTCTATGATTAAAACAATATTAATAGTTACTCCAACTTTTGTATGTGTGTGTGTATAAATGTGTATGTTTTATTAAATGTAATGTGTGTATATTTCCAATATAATTTACATTGTAGAAAGTATGGGTGTTCACTGGTCCTCAATGATATATAATAAACCTATAATCCAATTAATGGACAAATCGAATATTCTGGTACATAATATAAATCCTAATGTGAGAACTGAACATGAGTGCAATGCGTTTCTGCATTTCTGCAGAAAGAAAGAAAGAAAGATGTCTATAGAGATAGACATTATATAGAGATGTGTGTATGTATATTATATTTATCATAGTAAACCTTTATCTCAGTTTTGCATATTGTGACCATATAATGCTTAGCCTGGCAAAATGCTGGAGGGTCATTTAAAAGGGGGACCATCACTTATTTAGAAGATACACCATTGAATATAGAAAATCACTTAACTTATTTGTCCTTCTCTCAATTATACAGATTTTTTTTTTTTTATCCTTCTCCCAGCTCGTTCAACCTTCATATCTTATCCTGATTTCTGGTATCCTTGGCCATGCTCGTTCATTCCTTATCCAGATTTCTGGTATGCCTGGCCGTGCTCGTTCATACCTTATCCTGATTTCTGGTTTTCTTGGCTGTGCTCATTCATACCTTATCCTGATTTCTAGAATCCTTGGCCGTGCTCATTCATTCCTTATCCTGATTTCTAGTATCCTTGGCCGTGCTCGTTCATTCTTTATCCAGATTTCTAGTATCCTTGGCCGTGCTCATTCATATATTATCCAGATTTCTGGTTTCCTTGGCCGTGCTCGTTCATACCTTATCCTGATTTCTGGTATCCCTGGCCGTACTCGTTCATACCTTATCCTGATTTCTAGTATCCCTGGATCTTCTTGTTTATATCTTATCCTGATTTCTAGTATCCCTGGCCATGCTCGTTCATTCATTATCCAGATTTCTAGTATCCTTGGCCGTGC